GAAGCTCATATTTGTTTCTTGAACATTATGACTTCACAAGCTGAACGCTCATTTACTCACATGTTCTCCCTTGGATCCTTTAGCTCCCTTTTGTCCTGGCTCTCCAACCTCACCCTATAGGAATAACAATTCAAATTTACATTTGTCAAGATCATCCACACGACTGCGATGATTTGAGACTGAGATATGAAGAGGTCACTGACCTTGTCTCCATCCTCTCCAGCAGTACCTGGAGGTCCAGCAGGGCCTGGGAGACCAACTGGACCTTGGATGCCGTCGCGACCAGCTGGACCAATTGGACCTTTCTCTCCCTGTAAAACAGGGTTATCTTGTTTGACAGGCCTATATATAAATCCGTATTAGAGATAAGGTGCAAAACTAGAGTAGACACTTACTGGCACTCCCTTCTCTCCCGCAGCTCCAGGGGGCCCCTGAGGTCCAGGTCGTCCAGGTGGGCCAACAGTACCTGCGGTGCCAGCTGCTCCTCTCTCCCCAGGTGATCCCTGCATAGAAATTCAGTTAGGGTAATATACTCAAAGACCATCATTTAATTTCTTAATTCCTCAAAAATAAGATCATAAACCTCTGGGAATTATTATTTATCATTATTATTTCATCCTAAAATAAAAATAAAAATCATCATTTTCATAACAACTAAGCACATAATTTATTCTCTCTAGCCCACTGTAATGTGAAAATAGAGTTATCATTATGAAAAATATATTTTTATATTTAAATCATATACACATTGCAATTGCAAACAAGTACAGTATACATAACAGTATTGTATTTATTATACTACCTTTATTTTATGGTAATTGAAAATAAAACAATTAAATGATTAATATATAGAGATAAAGATTGTAATTAAAAAGGCTTTATTTTATGCAAAATATAATTTCTTATATTTCCTTTTGATTTTGGTGTGAAATATGAGCGATATCAATATGAATTCATAAGTTACTGGGGCACTAATCACTAACTAATGTCTATATACTCTTAAACATAAAAGGATGTTTTTGCAGTGATGCCATAGAAACACCATTCTGAGTTCCCCAAAGAACCGTTCAGTTCTTAAGAGAGCCATTTTTTCTTATAGTGTGAAGAACATTTTATAATCTAGAGAACCTTTTTGCAGTATAAAAAACCTTTTGTGCAATGAAAATGATTTATGGATGTTAAAGGTTCTTCATGGAACCATAAATAACAATAAAGAACCTTTATTTTTAAGAGTGTATCTACTTGACATTTCAGATTCTGGTTATTATGAGCAACATACAGCAGACCCGGGTGGTCCAGCAGGGCCTTCATTTCCTTTCAGTCCTCCAGTGCCCTATGAAAACACAAAGGTACAACTCAGTTAGGTATAAAACATTTATGTGCAGTTTTAAAGTCGGTTGACAAAATACATTTAGAAAAGGTTTTATACAATATAAAATTCACTAGAATAGGTAAGAGTTATTACTGAAGTTCCTGGCAGTCCTCTCTCTCCTGGGAATCCTCTCAGTCCAGGGGGTCCGTCTTTACCGGGGCCGCCGGAGGGACCGGGATCTCCTTTGGTTCCCTCTTTACCAGAAGGCCCAGAAAGACCTTGCTCACCGGGTGGTCCTGGGGGTCCTGAGTGACCACGCTCACCCATCGGTCCAGTCTCACCAGAGGGACCCTAAACAAGAACTAGACTTGAGTAAAGCTTGTACAGTTCCATACGTTTTTGAATTGATTTGAAAGATTTATTGATTTTTGAGGAATTTTATTAACAATTTCTCGAGAAAGAAACCCATTTTGCTTGATAAAAGCACAAAACTCACCTGTGGTCCAACAACTCCCGGTGGCCCAGGTGGTCCAGTTTTGCCTTGGAAACCCTAAGAATGCAATGTGAAAAATATATGTTGCTGTTCAACTTTGATCACAGTGAATATTGCACTTTAGATGATAAAAAATGAAAGATACGTACAACTTCGCCTCTCTGTCCAGGGTGTCCAGGCAGTCCATCTTTCCCTGGAGGTCCCTTCAAAATCAATTGACATATCAATAAGTAATAGAGAAAAACAAAAGTTCAGTTTAAGCATCAGATCAAACTAATAAACTACTCCTTACAGGAGGTCCCTTCGGCCCAGGGAATCCATTTGGACCTTGAGGTCCAGTTAGTCCCTGTACAAAAGGAGAAACATAATAAATAAATAAAGCTGAAGCGAAAACCTATACTCAAAGGTTTTAAATAAATAAAATAAAGTTCTGAAATAAACATACTCTCTCCCCAGGTGGTCCAGAAGGCCCGTCACTGCCAGATCCGCCCTAAAACATCAGAACGTAGAAATTGATTGATTGAAATTAATTGATCTTTATTATCATTGTTGAAAAACTACAAAAATTATTTGAGCAGCTCCTCAAACTATGTCCACTATGGCAACAATGAAAACTAAAAATAGCAATAAAACCGAAAAATTATTTGAAATTAATCTCATACCTTAGCGCCTGATTTTCCAGTTGCCCCACGGGGTCCTCTCTGCCCTCTGGGACCCTAAAAAGAAAAAAAAGAAAAAAAAAGAAGAAGTCTTAGAAACTCATTGCGCATTGGTTTACAAGTCAACTGATTTGAAATCTGTCATCTGCTTGAATCAAAACTCGCAACTTTAATCTACAAAACAAATCAGACCATTTCAAATCAAATGAAAGCAAAAAGTGTTTGTTTAAAATAGTGTAAGAGAATAAGATGAGAGATGAGATGATGAATTAAAACAGGCCCTTACTGTCGGCCCTCTCTGTCCTCTTGGTCCAGTTTTTCCAATCAAACCCTGGAAAGAGAAAAATCAATTCAGAATATTTCAGCATCATCAATTCTTTTCCAAAATAAAGGAAGATTTTCTTTTAATTAATTTTTAATGTGATTGAAGGACTTTACTCAACTTTGACCTTTAATGCAGACCTTGCATTGACATCCCTGTGACCTATAAATGCTTCTACCGTAACTGTTGAATTTTAGTCTAATTTAGTTTAACAATTCTTACCCTCGCGCCTTTCTCGCCATTTGCACCAGGGAATCCTGGGAAACCCAGGGAGCCCTAAAAATACAAGCATTACAATGATTTAAAAATGCATTCAATTTGATTAAACACCTGGCTATATATCTTATCATGCATCATAAACAATATGATTTTTTTGTTTACCTTAATTCCTTGCCTTCCGGGATATCCAGGAAGTCCAGGCACACCAAGTTTACCCTGGATTGGCATAATTTTGTACGATTTAATACATCTTTAGACCAGCAACTAAAATATATTAATTGTTATTAAATAACAAACATAACATTTATATT